AAAATAAATTTTGCCGATCTTTATAACATTTATGAGATTTTTAAGGACAGACAAGCAGACCAACCAGTCATCCAGTTTATAATCCAGGGTGTGAGACTGAGAAAGAAAAGGTGATGTATAAAATCCTTAGTCCAGTTCAAAGGCAGTCACTCAAGAAGATGACATTGATCATATCAAACCCATGGACAAAGTTGTCAGAAAAAAAGTTGCAGTCCTACTGTGCATTTTGCAGTCTAATAAATGTTCATTGTTCTGTTAATTATATAGTTCTAACTAAAAAGATAAGCACAAATATGAAATTGAAATCCGGTGGTTGTTTTTGCCATTTTTCTCCTCTCTAGAGGAGAAATTAATAGCAGGTCACTTTGTGGTGGTTTTAAAATATGATTTTTAAGTGTTTGAAGAGTTTTTGTTGGTGTCCCCCCCCTTAATGAAGGCATAAATGAGGAGGATTACATTGTATCTAGAGAAACGAAGGAAATTCAATTCTTTGCCAAAGCAAACATCCGCAGACTTGTGTAGTCTACATGTTTCAATGCATGTGAAAATATTTGGTGTTGTAGAGTGATTTCCGTCAGTGGAAATAATACTGCAACTAGAAATGAGATTTTGCAAAGAAGGAAATCAGAGCTATCTTAGTAATTTAACATCTCAAATTCGTTTATGGATAGTTTCCTGTCTCACACATTTAACTGGACAAGCTAAAGTGTTTAAAGATTAGAATGAAATTTTTAACTGCCCTTGACCGTGACATTTCAGAAAGGGTGTGTTCAATAAAAACAGATGGAAAAATGAGCTTGCCCCTTCACCTTGTACTGCCTTTCTTGTGTCAAGTAATTTAGCTTTTTGTCACCAATCAGCCAAGTATTCAAGGACATCCTTGGCTTTTGTCTTCTTCATTTTATGAATAAAATAGTTCAAGAACTCAGCAATTTCCATAAAATCCAGTAATGCTAAGCTTTTTGTCTTTTATTAAGACAGATGTTTCTGCAGTCACAGCTTGATTTTTGATAATGGATACTAAATTGTGTTAAATATCCTGTTTAACACCAAAACTATAAGAAAAAAATCTGAAATTAAGCAGCATAGGCTTAATGATGCAAAATTTTGTAATATCTGATTAAAATATTAATGGTAAGGTTATTTTCAGAAGAATGATGCAGTTTGCACTCTAGTTCTAAGCCAGATTTCCCACTTAGCACCTGAACGCTTCCAGCAGCAAAACCACTCAGAAGCTGAGGACATGAGTATGGCTTCAGGTGAGACAAACACAGTGCAAGGAAGCACAGTGCAGAATTTCAAAGTCAGAAGTGCGTGCCCTAATAGAGAGTGGTGTTGTCAGGATTGAAAAGTGGTTATCTTGCTCGAAGAGTTGCTTGTTATTACTGTGGACTCAAACTCATGTTGGCAGTAGCTTGGGAGTCTCCCATCCAAATCTGTTCCACAGGAGAGTGACATGTCCAGAGTAACACAAGCTATTGTGTCTAGTCAGTCCAAATACCAGTCATGCTATCCTAGCAAATGTATTCATATGGTTTATTTAAAACTAAGCCTATTATTATTTTATTATTCATTTTATTATCAGACATGTGAGATCCTACACTGAAAAACCAAGATGTACAGAACTAAAATGACCAATGCAGAGAAACTGCTTGCTAATTTCTAAAGTGTAGTTATTTCTATGCATTTTATCAAAATGACGAGCTTTCCAGATAATATCCTCTTTAAAATTGTTCCCATGTGCCAGACTTTTTAGTATCTCTGTGTATGTTGTTTTTGCAATGTGTTGTTTCATTGCATGGGATCTTAGCGACTATTTTAAGTAACCCACACAAATACCTTCTGCAACATAAGAACATGTTTTTGGGAGACATCAGACTGCTGTCTTTGAATGCAGTTTGTAATGTACGTGTGGATTGGACATTCATTTTTTAATCAATGGGACACTACTCAATAAGGAAACAAGGTAGAGAAGTTCAGTGCTGAATAGACAATTTTATTCAGTGTAACTTACAGTGGTCAGCCTCATGGATTGCTCATACACCCAGTTTTGAGAGCTCACTGAATTTTCCTTTGTCAATATATGCCAGTGAAAAGCCTAATAATGTATGACCTGTCCAGGGAATATTAGACATATGAGTAAATGTTGTTTAAGACACATTAATGTTCAGTTGGGACTTCTTGTGGTTTCTAGTGCTAGACATGTTGAAGCATCTGTTGCCCTGTGAAAATGCAGAATCAGCTCGCAGAATAGCTTTTGTATCATCAAGTTTAGTGGAAAGATTTATGTTGCCATTCTGCAGCTGAAAGATTTATCTCTGTGATTTTCATAGAACGACTCCTTTTGGATCAAAATATTTTTTCCTCAACTGCTTTAAATTATGTCATAGGAAAATATCTTTAAATCTAAACCCATAAATCTTCCTTACATACCAATCTACCTCTTGTCTTTCATAGAATGCTATGAAGGATCAGGGCAGTTATGACTGTATCAGGAGTTTAAATCTTATTAATAAAACATGTGTCTTTTTCTTGAGAACATCTTGTAAAATGGCTCATAATTATTTCAAGATTCCTTCAAATCCTTTGTGAAGGGAAGAAGTTTGTGATGGTCCCACACATAGGTTGGAGTGATGCTGTTGTTTGTTCGGTTACAGGTTAGCTCTGATTTTTTTCTGTGGATTGCATTTAAACATTCCTGTAATTCATTAGGCATTCAGACCCCACACGATATCATCACCAGCAGGTGTATCAGAATCTGACTTCCTTAAATCAGAGTGTATGGCTGGAAACCAGTTTGTAATCAGGGCATGCCAGTGATTGAATCCATGTGTTCTTTTTCCAGTCCTTTTTATTGACTTCTAAAAATTATTTCTACAGTTATTCACTGTTTCCATGAATAAGACAATTTGTATACACATTAGCCAGTTCTTCTGTAAAACAATTAAAGATCCTGATGTGTAACGTTACATAAAAAGTAGAAAGAAGCAAGAGAGTATATGAACTTCCTTCACACAGTTTATATCATATGCTATACTCAACATCTGTGGGACATCCCTTAAAAACAATCCTTATTCCAGACATAATCCTGTTGCTGATATATGTGTATCACCTGTAGCTACGTTTGAGCAAGAAGAAAATTGCTTTGAGGAAAATTTTGTTAAATATTGAGCCTGGAAAATTTTTAGGTTTTCAAGATTTTTCCTTTTCTATGGCAAAATGATAGGGATAATAGTAAAAAAGAAAAATCTGTTGTCATAAGACAAATGTTTCATGTAATGTTTACAAAAATATTGAGAAGAGTGATTTGGATTTTGAAACACAAACTATGCACTTTTTTTTTTTCAACATCTAGTCACATATTGACTAGACCCACTAAGGGGTTTTCTATTAAGGCACAGTTAGAACTGTTTAGATCTGTCTGTCAGTCATCCAGGCTTTCTCCAATAAGTGTGGATGCCAGCTACACCACAGATACCTACAGCTGTTCAGGGAAAATCTGTTCCAGGTAACATAAGAAGGTGCTCTTCACTTTTAGTGTGCATATTTGCTACAAAGATGCAGCTCATCCTGGTTAATGTGCTCTGTGTCCAGTGCAGCTACTACCAAGTTTCTCTGTGAGGAGGGTGCAGGTTCACCAAGAGGGGGTGGACAGTGTCCAGTTGTCATGTGGCATGGTGGTTAAAACATCATCCTGAAAGGTGGGATTGGAAGGTTTCTGTTTTAGAGTGTAGCACTCTCCTGAGTGCTCTTAAAAAAGAAGACTAAGTGAGGGAGGGAGGCTCTATTCATGTCCTAATCTTTGAAAATTAATTTCTTCTAAGATTTTTTCTCAATTTAGGAAAAGACACCTATAAATGATTGCCTTTCCTCTGAACTCTGATGACAGCTTTAAACAGGGTGAAGCTACTATTTTTTCATTGAAATCTTCCACAAAAATTGTATTTTAAGGGTTCATTAATCCTCTGGATTAAAGGAAATATGATTATTATTGTTTAGACCTTTGAAATAGTAGAAAACCACCAGGCAGTTCTGTAACTCAGATAGTCTGTATATATAGATCTATATTCTGTATATAGATCTTCAGGAATATCAGGACAGACAGAGCAATTAAGTCAAAGAAGTATAGACTGAGGAATGCCAACCACATGTCGTGTGGGCAGCTCCCATTACTCTCTGCTTCAGTTAAGCCTGGTACTGACTGGTGTTGTCAGTACCTTTCAAATATAAAACTTCAACAGATTTTTCTACATGTTTTTATTATTATTATTTTTCCAGAAAAAGGAAATAGAGCTAAGTTCCAACAAGCTACAGAAAATATTATTCAATCCATTGAAATTCAAGTCACTTATAATAACATTTTTCATATTTTTAGGAGCAGCATAAGTAGTATGAAGTCTTGACATATCAACAAGCATGTTGCAGTTATTGGAATCCAAGGTGTTACAGATCTTCAGAAGTATGTGAAGTCTAGTAGACATTAAATAGAGTACAGTATGATCTCATATCATGCAGGAAAACTGTCAATTCTGATTCTTCTCTTAGTAGTCCTTAAACAAGAATTTCAGAGGAAAATAAAAGAAATGAGAGAGAATTTATTCCCTATACCTACCAGTTGGAGTATTCAACCATAAGTTAAGGTTTGAAGAAACCGATGGAAAAAGAAGATCATGCTATGGCTCAAGCTTAACACCACACATAGTGTCATACTCGGCTCTGCTGAGTGTTGGGCTCTCTAGTTCACTTTTTCCAAAACCATCAAATGCCTACTAGACTGGTATTTCTGCTGTAACACTCACCCACAGGTCTCGTCTCTTTCCTTTTCTCAGTGCAATATTAATGTACCTCTTTAATCGCCTGTTGTCACTATAAATGCTCATTATAAATATACTGTGCTGAGAAATTAGGTCATATGACAAACACCTTTTTTTTCAGTTGCTGTCAATTTACAACATCAGTAAAACATATCCTTTTTTGTGTCTATTTTTCAACTTTGCTAGATATCACAAGGAGCATCCCTGAATGATTTAAGGAAAAAGAAGAGGCGTGCCCCTCTTCCACCAACTGCATCTGCTCCACCCACTCCTGCCATGCCAAACAGGACAGAAGATAGGGAAGACAAGAGAAAGAGCACAATGGGTGAGAGGCGTTCTTTTCTCCTATATAATCCCTATGCATGTGCTTTCAATGATTGCTGTTTGAAGTTGCCTTAATTCTGTTACACCATGAGTTTGGAAACTTTTGTAACTTGGGGAAAAAAAATACACTTCCCTGCAGAATGAAAGTCTGGAAATAAGTCTTTGTATATTACCTCTTTTTTTTTTTCTTTTGAATAGCACTGTTCAGAGTACCATAGGGTAGTAAAATGTAGATAGTACTCATCAGATTATTTGAATATTTGACACAAGGTTTATATACAAAAGCACTAGCCCTGGGCCTATTCTGTGCCTTTAAGATCATAATCACTTTGCTAGTAAATGGAAATACAGAAATAGTAAATGAAAATGCTGGTAAATGGAGACAGGCCAGGCAATACTGAATGCATATGAAGCCAAGAAGTGGCTAGAACCGAAGTACAGCCAAGCTAGTCCAGTGTCTCCTCCTGTTCCTAAAGCCTGAAGACATTTGATTTTCATGTAGTCTTCCCAAAGTTTGACATCAACTGACGATATTCAGTAAAGTTTTTCTTTCAAATTTAGCCCTCATTTTTGTTACAAATCAATCTCTGCTGAGTCTTTAGCTAATCAGTAGAAGAAAAGAACTGGTACTCTCGAAGGAATGACAAACATAGCTGGAGACAACAAAAGAAGTTGTAGCCTTCAGCTGCATGTGACGCCACATTTACTCATATAGGAAGACTGAAAAACATTTTCCCTGTCGTTATCTGACTGGTAGCTTATTCATATTGGTGGAAGCTCTGCCCAAGTGAGGACCCAGAGATTATGCTTTTAGCAAGCAAAGTGATTTTATGATGGGTAAAGATATGAGATAATAACCCCACATATTGAAACTCATTTTTCAGTACATTAAGAGAATCATTCTTCAAGTGCTGTAATGCACTCAGTGCACTTCAGTTCATGCCTTTGACCTCATGTTTCATAAAGTGCCTGAGACATACAGATATGACATTCTGTCATACATAATTGCTTGCATTACAAATGCCTCACAGTTTAGAAAGAAACCTCTTGGCTTTGTTCCAACATTTATTTTCAGTAGATGCTTCACATCTAATGCCTCAGCATTTATGTAGCAGCAGGAGTCCATTATCGTGTGACATGTTCAACTCCATTGACATCTCTTATTTAAACCCTCTAAGGGGAATATTATCACTGTGCCATATAACACGGGAGTTTTCATCAAATTTGCTTACTTTTAACCACTGCAGATGTCACACTGTTGTTTCTTGTGCTTTCCCCTACTGCTGGTCACTTTTTGATGACATTTGATGCATTAACTTTTTGTAAGTGTTCATTTTGTTTTGCATTGGTACTCAAAATGTTACAGATGAAATAAAACAGAACAGAGCCAATTCAAGTCCATTCAGTACTATGTTCATAAGTGCTTGCTGGCCAGACTCTGCTCATGTAGGATTCTGTAGTATCGTTTACTTTAATGGAGCCTTATTATTTTACACTGACAAAGAACTCGTCCCACAGTAGCCCTGTCTTCAGTGCTTTTCATTTTCTGCTACTTTCTTGAATGAATGTGTTCATTAAACGAAAAAATGTTACAGCCAGAGAAGGTTGGTAAAACAGCCTCTCTTTGGAGCCCTTGCAAGAAAACAATGAGAAAGCACATATGGCTCTGAAAGCATGAGATAAAAGCTGTGAAAAAAGCAAGACTGTAGTGAGGGGAAAAACGTGCTGCAAGAAATAGTCAGCCGCATGATGGAAAAAGCATTAAAGCTACCTATGTATCTCTCAAGTTAACCACGTGAATCAAAGCAAAAGATTCTATCAAAAATATTCTCAAACTGGCAAGTTCACTTCAATAATGAACCATTTACTGTGACTACAAAGTATTGTGCCAAATTTCCTCAAAGCAGTAAAAAAGTTCTTGCATGTTTGCCAGCATTAAATTGTGTCTCTGGAAGATACTCCTCTGGAAGCTAGTGACTCCTAAGTAGAAAATCATAATGGTTTAATCTTTTTTCCTCCCTCCCAGTGCTGCTTCCTTTCTCAGCAGCCCCAAAGCATGAGCCTGAGAGTATAGGAATGATCAGAATGGATCAAACCAAAGATGTGTCTGTCAGTGTCCATCTTCAGCAATGACCACAGAAGATGCTTAAGGCAGGGTACGGGAGGAGAACAAGCAGTTAGTCGTGTTCCTCAGTGCACTTTCAGCCTCTAAGGACTTTCCAAATTGCAGTAGCTCTAGTTTGTATACTACAAACAGGCAGCAGCTTTTTCATATTGGAAGTGATTCATATAGTGCAAAGATGCATGTATTTGTTTTGTTATTGCACATAGTGAGAAATAAACCTCCAGCCAAAGTTATGAGCATTTCCTTTGGTAGATTCAAACACTGTTTTGTAGAAAACAACTTAATCATCTGCTTCTCTACAACGTCAAAATAATAAAAACCTATTAAAAAAAAAAAAGAACAGAAAAATCTGTAAGATATCTACTTCAAAATACTAACCTGAGGAATCTTTCTCTTTCTCTCAGAGTCAGGAAAATAGCCACAAAAAGTATCCTAGACATCAACAAATTCAGACAGTTTTGCATTTCAGAAGATAAAAATAAAACACATTTTTCACATTTTCATACATAGCTTTTTAATTTTTTTTTTTATTCAACTATTTTTCTCCTTCCTTATGTTTGCCAAAACCGGTGATTTTAACTGTTAGTTTTAATGTACATGTATGTGCTGGACCCAATTCTGGTTCCATTGCTGTTGGTTTAAGAAAGACCTACCTTTTTCTTCTCCCTTAGTTATTTGGGAGTAAACAAGAGCAGAATTAGACCCAGAGAGACTTTGGATGTGGGTAAGGGAAAATCAATGTGTTTTTAAAAAATAGCAATAAGCAGAGCGATCATTATCTTGCAATGAAGTAACTAGTCAATTGATCCCCCTGTAGGTGATGGACGGCGGGTGCCACAAAAGCCTCCTAGAGGCACCACTCGTGGTCCCCCCCAGTTAGTGATCCCCCCACCCCCACCTTACCCTCCTCCTGGCAGTGACATTGTGGATCCAACAGAGTGTTACAGAGAAGCAGATGTTACAGCGCCAACAGAGCTGGTACCTAAACGTATGTTTGAAAATATATGTATTTTCATCTCCGTTCTTTTGATGATTGCTTTCAGGGTTAACTTTTCCAGACTTTCCTCTCTGCTCTTTAGACATCCGTGTCTGTTTTTCCCCCTTTTTTCAACCTGTTGTCTTTCAAAATGTCCAATGCAGTGTAACTAATGAATGTAAAGTAAACAAAACATTTATTTAGAGAGAGTTTTGCAGATAATACCTGGTCATTGTATAGAAGCATTTAAAAATAACCATCAAGCTTTGTGGCTATGCGCAACTGAAAGGAAAAAAATCTGTTGTATTAATTCCCCGTGTTTGTTTTTCTGTACTAACATTTTTTTGATCTCCCCAGAGACAAGCTCCTTTGAGAGTCATAAGGTCTATCAGTCTAGGTTGAGAACTACAGGGTATTCTCTTAGGAAAATTAAACCATTTACAGGAGCTGTATATTCTTAACATCTTTCTTGGCATCTATGGATAGTCCTTTGTGTCTCTTCACCTTGGGGCATAACAGTTATCAGACAAGTACAGTATTTTCCACGTCCTTGTGTACTTGTGAAAAGCATGTTTTCGTGCTACTATTTCATGCTTATCCACTGTCTTTAAATCTTTGTACACAATCCAAGTCTTTGATCATGTATTATGTTCCCTGTGGGCTTGCCCTGCACACCCATGTAGATCCGGTAAAAGCAGCAAAGCTCTGTACATTATGACATCTCATGGACGCACTTCCTTTGAAGGCTAAGACGGTGTCTCCTAACCATGGGATAGAGAATCGTCTCTATTAGCTACTAAGTTGACAAAAGATCTCTTTCCAGGACATTTTCTTTACCAAAAGTATTCTGTAGGTAACAGTTACTCTGATAAATTCACGTTGGTGTGTTTGATGTTGATTATCAGCAAAATTTAAAGCGTTATTTTTCATATCTGTGCTGAGGAAATACAGATTGATGAGTTTTATTGGGGGAAGGGAAAGAAATTAAGGAGATCATACTAACAGAAAACCTGAATCTTATTGAGGATTAACCCTAAGTCATTTTTACCAGTGTATGCACAAAAATCATATACTTAAAATCTTCTTTTTGTTCTAGATACCATCAACTTGCCTACAATGTTTTCTTTATTAAAAATCCATTGTGGCCTTCTTTGCATTTATATTTCTGCTTCATTTGAGTTTCTATCACTGTTATTTTGCAATGCTTTCCTGATCTACCTTGGTGATCAAATACCCTTTAATCAATGCAGCACTGATTTAATCAGTGTGATCATTTGCTCTTAAATAAACACAGCATCTCAGCCAAAAGGATTTGATTAAGCTTGTTCATAGAAACATAACATGAGTTTTTATTATCCTCAATTTACTGAGAGCAAGTGCTTAGTTGGTACTTATTTTAGACTTACAGCATCAGTTGGAGAGGGATGAGTTTAGCTTTATAATTATGCTGTGTCCTACCTAGATAAAGATAAGTGTATAGATTTACACAAGAGAAACGTGTATAGATGTACCCATGAGAGACAGCAGCGCATACAACAGATGTTAATTATATTGCCTAATGCCATTCTGAAAGGTGCTTAGATACCGTAGCTATTGAGCTGCGTAAGAACAGTTTTGCAATGATGTTTTTTATTGCCTGAGAATGCCTCAAGCAGTGCAAATAGGACTTGGGCGGTAGATTCAAAGAACAACAAAATTTTCAGTCTTCCTAACTCTAAGCTTAGTAAATGTGTTTTCTCACAGAACAAGGTGGGAAGGACGATAAGCCACTGATGCCAGCTATTGATGAAAGGCGTATTTGTTCAGAAATCACTCTCTCAAAAAAGCTTTCTCTCATGAAGATTGTGGTCTTCCTTTGCTGAGTGGGTGACTGTAAAGAGCAGTATGTCTTTCACAAGATAAAATTCCCATTCAGAAATTAAAATTCTGTGATCATGTGGAGTTTAATTTCTTACTCCTTATGATCTGCCACTGTCTGTGGGGCACCGTGCTTCACCCCTCATTCTGTTCCAGCAAACACAGAATTGTCCCATTGTGCTCTAGGAAAACCATCTTGAAGAATTTTCATTTCACAGAGAATAGTGGCAATGACTCTTCATGGAGTTTTCCAAACTTATGGGGAGTGTAAATAATTCATGAATAGGGCCTTTAGTAAGATACTTGGGCTTTTCTGTCTCAAACTGCGAGAATCCCTTCCACAAACAAGAATGCAACAGTTCCTCACAGTTTTTGCTCTTTAATCTTTATATTTTCATTACATGACCTTTCCTCTTAACTTCAGGTATGGTAGAACCTTTGCTGCATGTTGTTTGCATGTTTCAAGTGACGTGTTTATGGGATCCTTTCTCCTTCCTTATCTTACTAATTAGATTGTTCATGGCCTGTGATTCTAAGATTGACTGTACTTTGGGAATGCAGAAATGGAGATTGTGGCCTCTGTTGCATGACGTTTGGTTATCTAACATGGTTTGTAAAGTTCCCAATATATGAGTCAATGGTAAGCTCTGTGCTACTTTACCTGGCATAAAGAATGCACGTAATGAAAGACTGCTACACCTAGACAAGTAATTGAAACATGCTGTCTTGAAATGTTGTCAGCTAGCTCATTAGAATAACTTCAGTATTCTTGTGAAACTCCACAATTAGCCCTTTATTTGGCTAGTTATGGACTATCATTGAGATATGCTGTAAGAAATTAAAAGTTCTGTGAAAGAAAATAAAAAATTTACCTTCCTGTAGAGTGAGATCCTGAAATTAAAATCTTCACTCTGGCACTAGATAAAGTACTAATGAATTCAGGGTTCACACTGGGTAAGGGCTTGACAACTGATTGATTTGCAAATTTCAGAAAGTGTTCTGTCTTTGAAGAAATAAAATCATGATTTGTACCTGTCTTTGTTTTTAACTATAGATCAAAATAATCAATCATTGCTTAATGAGAAAGTTTTAAGGAATGAAGGAGTGGGTATAAGCATTTACCAGTTATTTTGTGTAGAAGACATGGATACTACTAGTTACTGGATAATACCAGGTTAATTTTAAGGAACAAGGAGAACAGAAAGGAGCCTTGTCCCTATATCTAATTTTTTTCATTATATGATTGACATATGAACAGGTCATACAAGCCACTTGACAAAATCTAAGATGGTTTCACAAGCAGTTCAGTCATATTTCTTCAGTCACCGTAGATGTATATCTAGTCTTTAACAGTCATTAGGGTTAGTCTTTAAGAGTTGGGCTTTGTTAGCTTGAACCAAAAATAGGTAGAAACACAGAGGAAACTTGATTTTCTTACACGTGGTTCTAAATCAATTGAGAACTACATGGTACTTGGCAGGGAGTTTTGCTGGCTTGTCATAGTATGCTGCCTCAGAAGGCATGTGTCAAGTGACCCAGTGTTTTCTTTCTCAGAAGTGGTCTCTAAAGCAAGAAAACTTGTACATGTGACTTAAAAAGCTGATACTGCCATCACTACCCTTATTCATCCAGCCTGATCTGAGGCTAAAGAATGAAGTTGAATCTCCATCATCATCTATCTTGTACCTTCTGGAGAATTAAAATTCAGGCCAAGCAAAGCAGAATTCATAGACACACTGCATATCAGTAGGTGGTGTGCTGTTAGGATGGAGTTAGCTTATACGAGAACCCAGGGAGTTAGTCTCAGAGCATCTGTGGGATTCTAAATTTTAATACATGTGCTCATGCACCTACATCTCCTTTGGGTATCTGAATCTTTAATGTTACTGAGCATGCTAGCCATTCTGCTGACTGATCTACACAATATTTATAATTATATCCTTTTACTCTTTTCCCCTGACAGTCTACTGTTGTGCATCATTCCCTTCATATACCAAGCGCATCTGACAGACCTTGCCTCTTCCTATGACCTTCATACTTCTGAACATCCTGTTGCCTCTACTACCCTGATTCTTCTGTTGCCTTCCTTTCTCCCTTGCTGGAAAAGAACCTTTTTTTTCTGACTGAGATTTTGGCTTCTTTTATTTTTAAACTCACACATTCTCTTTTAATTATTATTGATTATTTTTGGTTGTGGTTCATATTAATTTGTCAGATGTATGCTCCAGAACTGTATGCTGTGTTATAAAAATCTATATATCAGCCTCAAAGATATTATCCGTCATTCTTTTCCACAAAATTCTCTTTATTTTGAGCCATGGTTTAATTTAATTTGGTGTTTCAAAAGAGTGTGCTTTTGGGACGGGGTGTGTTTACTGTCCATACTGTCTAAAGTTTTAGTATAAAGTTTCTAAAAACATTTTTCATTTTTAGTTTCTGCTAGTCTAGGTATAACATTTTACATTCTCTGTTTTTTTCTATTTTTCTTTTATTGCATCTGTTTTGTTCCTTTGGAACAAAACTAGAACTGGGCATGGCCTAGTCAAGTTGAAGTGCAAGATTCTTTCTATATCTTGGCTATCAATCAAGCTGCCAAGAAAAAAACCCAGGAAGATCTGTTGGATCTATAAGTGGCTTAAAAAGAATACCGAGAACCAATACCAAATGCACTGATTCATAATCTTTCATCCTGATGCTTAGTATGAGTAATTTTATCTCGATCCTGAAGACATCCTGTGGAAATCAAGGTGTGTGTTCTATTTCTGTAACAAAGATGCAAACGCTGTTTGCTTGAGATAAATCTCGTTCCACAAGTCTTTTTACACTTGTGCTAGGAATAGTCAATGAGTTCTAATTAAAATATCAGCTCTAGGTTTGTACTTAGCAAAAACTTCTTTGTGCTGCATGAAGTTCTTCATGTGAATGGTCCAGAAGACATATATTTTTAATTATTCTGAACTACAAACAGAGGTTTTATGAGTTGTAATGATGCACACACCCGGAACTATTCTGACCTTGCAAGTACTGTGCTTTAAGACATTCATGTTATTTAAATGAGTGACTTGCAATACATAACTCTAATTTAAATGATGAAAAATTATTGTTTTACCCTCAAGCAAATAATCATATTCATCTTGAATCCTTTCCAGGTAGGC